GGGGCAGGCAGGTCACCTTTCAGATCCTCCACCCGGGGGCTGCTCGGGCGGCTGAGTGAGAAGCTGGTTTTGGTGGCCAGCTTGCCCCCCAGCACCATCTCGTGGGACACAACCCTCCGGCCACTGGTTTCTGGAAGGGGGAGGAGTAAAAACTACACTCAGTCTCCTTCGTCCCTCCCAAGTGCACCCTCCCCCTCCATACTGCCCTGTCCCCTGGCCTGCTCCTCGCTGGTCAGGAGAGGCCTGACCTCCTGTGACCTCAACTCTTCTGGGACGGGCTGCAGGTGGCCTGGAAGTCCCGGGCCTCCTGGGGCCCCTGGAACCTGCCCAGGGGGAGCTGTAGGGGGTGGAGGGGCCGGGGCCGGAGCCAAGGCAAGAGCAGGAGAGCCGGGAGGCCTGCAGACGGACACGGCAGCATGCCCGCGAGAGGCAGTCCTGAAACGTCCTCCCCGTCCCCACCCCGAGCTTAACGCACAGAGCGGGCCCCACCGAGCTCCGCCTCTGAAGAGGCCGCCCCATTAGCTGGTGGCCTTCGGCTCGAGAGACCCGGCTCTCTAAGGAGCGTGGTCAACAGCGAGAAGAGGCTGCTCTGAGGGCACGGCACCAAGCCGTCTCCGACAGAGGCCCGACAAGCGGGAGCCTGCACCTGCCACCAATGTTCCCTGCAGGGTTTCGTCCCCGTCTGCCCCCCACCCGGCCCCGGGAGCGGCAGAGAGCTGGCGGCTGGGGTCCCCGCCCCACCGCTCCCACAGCCCGGGTGGGGGGCAGCCCCAGCACGTCGGGGGAGCCCGTGGCCCTCTGCTAGAGGCGCAGACCTGAATCTCGCAGACGTGACACCCTGGCCGCCCCGCCCCGATTTACTGTTGAGACCAGGTGTGGAGCTGGGGACCAGGCCCCGGAGCTTCTTGAGGGTATTCACAGCTACGTTCAGATAGATGTTCTTGCTGGGGCTGCGGTCGTAGGCCACCTTCTCCTCGTTCAGCGCCTGAGGACACACACCACAGCCCTGTGGCCCTGTGCTCGGCGGGCGGGGGAAGGTCCCGGCCCCTCGGCCTAGGACCTGGCCACCCCTACACACACCCCAGCCCGCTGTCCCCCCAGCCGGCCCACGGCCACCTCCCAGGGTCACGCACCTTCTCTACGGCTTCCTGGTTTGAAGAGCAGAATTTGAGACACTCCTCAATAAACAGGTTGAGATACCGCTGGCGGATGACGGTGGGGACTTTGCCCCCAAACTCTTTTGGGATAACGGGCTTCTTTAAACTCTAGAGAAGACAGACCCATCACAGACGGCCTATACCGTGCCTGGTCCCCTGATGTGTATCGCAGAACCCACGGGACACCGACATGCAGGATGGACCCTGCTGGAAACTCTGGGCTTCGGGGCCCGCGAGAGCTCATCCCTGGCTCACTGAGGCCAGCACAGCCGCGGCAGCGTTGGCCAAAGGGGAAACTGAGGGCAGGCGTGGCGGGGGGCGGGGGGGGGAGGGTACATGGCCGCGTGCCCGCTGCTCAGTGTCTATGAACTGAAGCCGCCCTGGGCGAGGGGAGTCTGTTAGCAAAGGCAGCAGAGGGAGCCGGAAGGGGAGGAGCGCCCACGCGGCACAGGGGCGTCGGCAAGCCAGGCGCCCAGGTTCCCGCGGCAGGGGACCCGGGGGGGGGGGGCGGGCGCTCACCTGTAAAGACGGGCTGTGGGCAACACGCTTGGGGGTGACGGTGGCGGTGGTCTTGGACGCCATGCCGGACAGCGTGCGCGCCTTCAGGGGCTGGCCGCCCGGTTCGGGGCCATTGGGAGGCCGGCCGCTGCTGGCGGCGAGGGTCCTCTTGGCACCTGTGGGGGCTGGTGGGGCACAGGGGACGTGAGAGCAGGAAGAGAGCACACCCATGACCGAGCTGCACAGCACCCAGCAGCCACGGTCGTTCAGCGTCAGCAGGACGTGCATCTCAGAGCACAGGGGGACGGGCCGGGCTGTGGGGCACGGGCTACGGAATGACATCAGGCTCTATGTGCGTTCAGGCAAGTCCATCGAGAAGGGGGGAACTCAAATGGGGCTTCGGAGGCCGGCTCAGGCAACGTCTCCGCCGGGGCGGCCCGGCGAGTGGCAGGGCACGTGGGAAGCCTCTGCCACATGCTCCGGCCCCCGACTCCGAGGCATCGACCTATGAGGGAGGAAAGGCCCTCGCTCCTGGGCTGCGGACCAGAGGGTACAGGATGGCCCCGGCCCAGTCACTGTGACCAGCGGGGCCGGCCCTCCGCTGCCTGTGTGTTCTGCCTCTCCCTTTGATGAGGTCACAAAGCAAACAGTCTCCCGCCTCCCCGGGGAGGAGGGCACCCGCCTGCCGGGCTGTTTCCGAGGGCTCCGGGGAGGCGGCGGGGGCCGGAGGCCGGGCTGCGGGCGTGCGCACGCGCCTGCACGGGGCTTCTGTGCCGACAAAAAACGGGAGCGGGTGAGGAGAGCACGGGGCCCAGGTCCCCGGCCTCTTGCAGGCACCATGGCACCACAAGCCGGCCGCGGCCCATCCCGCGCCAGGGCCGGCGGCCTCTGCAGAGTGGGCGGAAAACGCGCACTCTTCCGGAACGGAAAGACAGCTCTTAGGTTCGTTCACACACGGACTGTTTGCGCAGCACCCGGGCTGCGCCTGGGGAGGAAAGCCGGCACGAGGCATCGGAGGGGACTCCTCGACTTCGGGCGACCCCCTGCAGCTCGGGAAGGGTGCCACTGGGTCTAAGGGTGCCGGGCCATCTGCGAGTCAATGCCACCCCGAGTGTGTCTGCTGAGGACTGTGGCAAGGCCTGTCCCGAGCCACGGAGGATGACCCAGGGGACCCGGTCATGTGCAGGAGGGGTTCCGCGTCCCAGGATCCACACAGCTCAGGGTCCTCTCCTGTCCCTGCAGCTAAACCGCTGCTGAAGATCCACGGCACACACTTCTTGCCCTCAAGTTCTCTCTGGGGAGAGCTCGGGGGAGGGGAAGGAGCAGACTCCAGACAGTTTATCCTAAAGCAGGGAGAGGCAGGGGAGGGCTGGGGAGGACTACCTGGTGGGGCCCACCCCTCAGGCCCTGGTGACTCCAGGGAGTATCTGAACCAGCAGCAAGGACGCCCCCCGTGCCCCCCGAAGCTGGTCAGATGGCAGGGGGCCTCTACAACCCAAGAGAAGCTGAATGTGCATCTGAACGGGGCTGCCAGGTGGCCGAGTAGCCAGGGGCCCCCCTCACACTTCCCCAGCTCCAGATGCCACCGAGTGTCCTGCCGGTCAGACCACGCAGGTCTGACCTGACTCTCGCACAAGACCAAGCGGGGGAAGCACCCACAAGACAGAAGGAAACACAGCCCCAGGGGCCTCCAGACCAGCTGGCTCAATTCGGCCAAGCTGAGCGCCTCCGGGGCCACAGCCTCGCTAACCCCAGCCCCACAGACCACCGAGGCCAGCCCCCCCCCGTTCCCGGTATCACGGTATAGAGCCCGGTGCCCCCACTCAGGAGCCCGGGGGAGGCAAGGACAAAAAGACCAGGCAGGCAGGGACAGAGTGGAAGTCACAGGGAGATCCCTGGGTCAGGGCCTCAGAGGGAGGCAGGAAGCTGGCACAGCCGACTCTCTGGGTCTGTTAGACAGACAAGGGGTGGGAAGAAGGCACCCCGCAGACCCCCCCAGAGCCAGCCCCCGGCTACCAACACCAAGGCCGGGAAAGGCCCGGAGCCGCTGGGCACTGCATCAGGCCTGAGTTAGCCTCCTGCTAACAGTGGAGGGAAACTTTTATCCCCATTCCACAGACCAGCACACTGAGGCCCCGGCTGGGCCCCGTTGGGAGTTCACCATCGCTGGCAGAAGCAGAGCCTGGCCTTGGGCTCCTGTCACACCCCCGAGCCCCTGTGCCCCGGGACTCACCTGCAGCCAGGCGGGGGTTGGGGACGTGGGCGATCCTCCTCTTCTCGCCGGGGGCCGAGATGTGGACGGAGGACGACGGCTTCTCGGCCGGCTGCTGGGTGGCCTGGAGCCAGGCGGCGGAGTCCCTCTGGGCCTGCTGGGCCCGCCGGTAGCACACCTCCTGGGCGGTGGGAGGCCGGGCAGGGGGCACTGGGCCTCTCCTCCCGGGCTCTGCCTGGGTGATGACAAATTCCCGGGGGGGTCTGTATGCTGGGAGCACCCAGAGCAGGCCACACGGGGCAAAAGGCTGACGGTAGGGCCACGGACGGGAAGGCAGGGGCTCCGGGGCCAGGGCCAGGCACGCGGCCCCGGCGCCCTCCTCTGAGCGCTCAGATACCCTGGCAGGAAGCAGCCAGCTCCACGCGTTAGCCCTCAAACTCATGTTGCCTCGCTGTCCCAGGGCACCTCGGCTGCCCTGCTCTCTTGGCTCCTGGCCTCGGAATGCCTAGGCCCTGCCCTTGGCCCTGATATAGGCGCGGCGTGGGTGGGACTCATTAGGCCCCTGATTGGATTGGCACGCTAATCCAATCGCACTTGACTCCGTTTTCTCTGGCCTTCAGCTTAGCCAGGGGAAGGGTCTGGTGATAGAATCCACCAGAGCTCCCAGGTGCTTGGCAGAGAGCCCGGTCCTCTGCCCCAGCCTTCCCTATGCCACCCACAGCTGTTTCTCTCTTTGGGGTGGGATCCAGCTCTGCAAGGTCGGGCCACTGGTCCAAGATCACACAGCACAGCTCACAGCCAGCAGTCCCCCCGTGCCCCTCCGTGCCCCGTGCCACCCAGCACCGGACCGAAGACTGGAGGTGGGCCCCAAGCACGTCTCTGCCACCACGTGGGGAGTGCCAGGCACGTGCCTGCCAGAGGAGGCCGTCAGCAGAGGCCGGGGGGCCTTCTCTCTCCCACCAGCCTCCCCTCAGGGCCCAGCAGTGGACTTTTACCTCCTTGCCTTGCTTGGAGAGATGAGAAATCCTCCGCTTCTGCCCCGGGAACAGAGTGGTGAGGCCCGAATGCCCCTGGGCTTCGACCTTCTCTTCCTTGGGAGGCTGAAACACACATTCAACCCTCGATGAGGTTCCTCCCTCAGACCTCACCCCCACACCAGCGCGGCGACTCCTCTGCCCTCCCCGCCGCGAATATGTAACTCAGAAAGGACACGGAGAGTGAGGTGGGAAGGCGGGAACACAGTCAAGGGAGGGCCTACCGGTCTGGAAACACGATGTGGGGCTCTCACCCCCAACCGGGACGCGTGCTCTGCCCACTCACAGATGGGGAAACCCCGGTGTCGGCCAGTCCCGCACGCGACTCCTGCAGACGCACCCAGCCCGAGCGTGACCCAGGCCCCGGCCAAGGTGGTCTCGGGCCCAAACCACTGCCTCCTGCTCCCCTCCCTCGCCAGCTCACACGGGGCAACCCAGAAATGTGGGAACAGAGGGAAAAAATCTGAACAGCAACACCTCAAAGGTCTGTGAACAGAGCACAGCACTGAGGGACCAAGCAGGCGGCCCGATCTTGTGACAGGCACAGAAGCTGCAGGTTTCCGAGCAGGGACCAGCCCCTCTGGCTTTGTTCAAAGCAAGCACCCTCTGGTGGCGGGACGTGGGTGCACTGGAGTTTGGGGGGTGGGGGAGGAGAGTGAGAGGAGAGGGAGGGGGGAGAGAAGGGAGGGGAGTGGGGAGGGGAGGAAGACAGGAGTGGCCTGGGGAAGGTGGAGAGAGGGAGGCAGGTGGAGGCGGGATGAGCGGGGCACAGGGGGAGGGAGGGAGGAGAGAGGGGGGAAAGGAGAGAGAGGGACGTGGGGGGCAGGGGAAGAGAGACCGTGGGAAGGGGGGGGGGAGATGAAGGGCAAGGGAGAGGGGAGCTGCCCCCCACCCCAACTCTGCCCAGTCTCCCTGGTTTTGGGGCCTCGGTGGCCACGGGCCCTGCCTGGGGGACCTGGCGCTCTGTTTCTGGACAAGGTGCCGGGGCAGCAGGGCGCCAGCAGGGGCTCCTGGACGGGGAGGGAGGGGAGCACCCCCCCCAGCAGGGCCCACCTGCCGGGCCCGCCGGCCTCTGTCCTCTGTCTTGACACTGGTGGATTCGTTGAAGATGCGTAGACACTCCTCCAGGGGGTCGGAGTCAAAGTCGACCTCCTTCTCCAAAGCTGAGTAGTCCACATCCCCACCGGCCCCGGAGGAGGAGGAGGAGGAGGAGGAGGAGGAGGAGGAGGAGGGGGAGGCGGGGGCGGGGGCGGGGGCAGGACAGGGGGGCTGCGGGGCCTTGAGGCGCTTGCGCGGCCCCTGAGCGGGGGAGCAGCCCAGGCTGCGGTCCGAGTCCGAGTCCGAGTCCGAGTCCGAGTCCGAGCTGGAGCTGAGGCAGGGCAGGGCGGGGGGTGCCGCGGGCCCCGGGCCCAGGCCCTCATCCTCACTCTCGTCCCCAAAGAGGTCCGCGTGGCTCAGCGCCCGCTTCTGCAGCTTGGGGGCGTCCCGGGAGGCACCCTCGTCCAGCGAGCGGGCCTTCCGCTCGGCCAGCTTCCCCGGCGGCGTCTTCCCGCCCGTCCTGCTTGGCAGCTGGTGGGCACCCCCGCGGTCGGGCCGGCTGTTCCCTGAGCTGGCCACCGGGGTGGCCGAAGATGGCTTTTTCTTGGTCCCTTCGGGCTGCTCGGCCCTGTGCCGGGGGCTGCCGGCCCGCGCGCCCCGCCGGTCTGCACAGGGTTTCCCGGCAGGCCGCCCCTGCTCTCCGTCTTTACCCCGGTCCTTCCTCCGGACACCGTCCTTGCGGCCAGGGGCGGGCAGGGCCCCGCCTCTCTTCTTCTTGGGTCTCCCCTCCTTGGGGCCGCTGGGGTCCTGCGAGACCCTGGCCGGGGAGCCAGGCTTGGCCCCGGGCTCCCCACCGGGACCCTTGGGGGGCTGCCCGAGGTCCTCGACGTCATACTGCACGGCCATCTCCTTGGTCTCGCGCAGGCTGCCCTCCTCGGTCTCCTGGCCCTCCCTGGAGGCCGGCTTCCCGGGGGCCTTGCCCTCGGGGCCCGCCTGGGCTCGCGGGGGGCTCGTGGTGACCGGCCCATCACCCGGAGCGGCGGCGTCATCATCCGAGTCTGAGAACCTGGCGTCGCAGCCGGCAAAGGGGTCGCAGGGCTTCTTGAGGGCGGGCGTGTAGGGCTCGCTACCCCGGGAGCCCCAGGGCCGCTTGGGGGCCCTGTCATCTTTGGAGCTGGCCCTGCTGAGCAGCCGGGCAGAGAAGTTGGACAGAGGGTCATACTCCAGGTCCGTGGACGGCTTGGAGTCATCCACCACGTACTTGCCGCTGGGGACAGGGCGGCTGTACCGCTGGGGCTGGCTCACAGCCTTGGGCACGTACTCCAAGGCACCGCCAGCCCCTCCGCCGTGGCCCTGAGCGCGATCCACAGCCAGCGAGTACTTGCCGGCCGCCTCGGCGGCGGTGGCCAGGGGAGTGGGCTGGTAGCCGGCATCGGGGCTTAACAGGCCCGGGCGGCCGCCAGGGTTGTAATCGAAGGACAGCGGGAAGGCGTCCTCGTCCAGGCCCGCGGCGGGACTAGTGGCGGGGCCTCGGGGCGCCACGGCAGGGGCCTCGGCCGAGCGGTGCTCGCGGGCCGTCTCCAGGAGCTCCTGGTACCGCCGCTGCTCCAGCTCTACCTCCGAGCGCACCGCCTCGATGGCCTGGTTGACCAGCTCCAGCTCCAGGATGTCCGAGCGGGGCTCCCCGCCGCTGCCCAGGGCGCCATTCTCCCTCTGCACGGGGGGCTTGGGCAGCTCGGGGTTGTACGGGTCATATCCAAGCCCTGAAACGGGAAGCAAGAGAAAACGGCAGTGAGCAGGCCCCCCGAAGAAGCCGCAGCCACACAGGCCAACGTCGGGCCACAGCCTCAGCCCGGGCCTCGCCCCCGAGGCTGCCGGGGAAGAGCAGAGAAGCAGAACCCACCGGCCCCCCCCGCCCCCGCCCCGACCCCGGCCCGGCCAGGAGGCAGAACTGGGCCCCCGGGGGCACGGCCACTCGTCCACAGACCTCCCGGCAGGGGGTGGGGCAGGGGCGACCTCACAGACTGGACGACTAGCCCCAGGAGCCGGTGTGAGAACGGGAGTCCCACGGGCCTGGCCCACACCGCAGCCACGGCGCACTGCCTCCTACGGACGGAGTCGGGAGGGTGTGCGCGGGAGGCTGGCCGGCCAGGCAGGGAGCAGCCACAGGGCCACCCCAGAGGCGTCACCCCTAGGGCTCTGTCCGGCCAACTTGCTCCCCGCAGTTACGTCCACGGGGCCGTGCACGCGCCAGGAGAGCACGGAGCCACCGAGGGACCCACCGTCAGGGAGCACGGAGCCACGAAGGACACCCACACACGATTGTGAGGGGACAGGAAAGGCAGAGTGCCGTCCGTGCCGCGGCCCCACGGAGCAAAGCGGCAAAAAGCATTTCCAGTCACATCGCATTCTGAGAACGCCAAGTAGGGTGGAGAGCAAGCCAGCATCCACCTCAACCCACGAGCCTGGGATCCAGAGTCGGACCCCGGCCAGTTGAGCCACCCAAGCGCCCCCCTCACGTCCTTTTAACGTTTCTATCAGTCTGAACAGTCATGCCCCACCCCCCACCCCCCACCCCCACCACCCCCGGGGCGGCTGTGAGACAGATAATCCTGCTTCTGTTCCAGGTTCCAGGGCATGGTCTACGAGACCAGCACGACTAGTGCCACCAACGTCGGTACGAAACCCACCAGAGACTCTCCCTCATGGACAGAGGTGCGGAAATTCTCCATAAAATGTGACCAAATGAAGCCCACCGTTCCAAGAAAGGGACAATACACCAGATTCAAGTTCGCCGTGTTGACGTATTCCGGAATTCAGAGACTTTGCTAGAAATCCCATCTAAAGCGTAGAATATGTTTAAAAAAACCGAGCGTAACGTACAAACTTTTCAAACCACTAAGCGGTATGCCTGAAAATAACGTAACAGTGTAGGTCAACTATACTCACAAACTTAAAAGACCTTACCGGAGATAATTCTCCACCGTCACCGAAGAATATGTCCGTGGATCCGATGCCCTGTGGTTGACCGTGTGGCAGCGACTCTCCCCCAGAACCTCCAGAAAGGACCAGCCCTGCCCACACCCGGATGTAGCCCGGTGAGACCCATTTTGCACCCCTGACCTCTTCGGGTAAGGAAATCTTGTGTTGTTTTCAGGCCCCGGGTGGTGGTGCCGGCCACCGTGGCCCCAGGAAAGTGGCCCCAGGAAACTCGAGAAAGGAAAGGAAACCAAGCCCTGGGGCTGCCTGCCTGCCTTCAGGGGACAGGGAGCTTTGCAGGGGACAGCGCTGGGGCTGGGGCCGCCTGGGGCCCGAGGGAGGGAAGAGACTGCGGCCTGTGGCTTGCCTTTTGCCTTGGAGCCCATATCTTAAGTCGTAATCGGCAGAAAGGGAGCGGACAGAAATGCTTCAGACGCAGACAGGGAGGCAAAACCAGAGGGGCGGGGGGAAGGAGCCACTCCATGCCCCCCACCTCACGGCTGAACACTAGAGGGTACGGGGGAGGGAGACTGGGGGCAGGGCGCACAGCCGCCCCTGGTAAGAGGTGGAGGGACCACCCAGAGGGGGGCCTCCCTCCCAGCCCACCTTGACCCCCCAACCAGTCCAAAGGCACCAATGGGAGACCCGCCCCAGCCTAACGACCCCTGAGTGAACAGAGGGAAGACCGTGCCCTGCCCTCTCCTCCCCACAGAAGTCCTGGCTGCCTGCAAAGCGGAAGCGCCCAGACCAGCCACGAGCTGGGGGGCACTTACTGGGCACGTCCACCAGGGGCTTGGAGGGGCTGGACTGGCGGGTCTCAAAGGGGCCTCCGGCCCGGCCCACCTCACTCCCCACGCTGCCCCCCTTTGGCTAAGAGTCCTCCCCCTGGTGGGGGAGATGGGAGTTAGGGTCCACCTAGCGGCAGTGCCCCTCCCCCAGGGGCCGGTCAGGGAGGCACCGATGGGGGGGGGGGTCTTTCCCTACCCCTCCCTAGGGAAAAGGGCTACAAACAATGCAGGGCAGCCAGGAGCCCCTTAGCCAGGTTCCAAGTAATGAAGCCACTATACATTTTGAAAGGAAGGGTTTCCCCCCAAGGGAGGGAGAGAGGAGGCCCCACAAAGAGCCTGAGGCCACCTTAGCTCTGGGGGACCGGAGGCAGAGAGGCCAGGAGGGAGGCTGTCTCGTTTTCCACCTTGGAGCCCATACTGGCATTGTAAGGGCGGTCACACCGGCTCGCTCCACCCTCTCTAGCCTCCAAGCACCCTGGCCTCTCAACCGGGAAGGGGCGAGTGCACTTGGGGTCCCAGCAGCTCAGACTCTGAAGGGGGTACAGCCCCCGGCTGAGCCCAGTCCAAGCACCCAGCCCCTCGGTATGAGCCCTGCCAACACAGGGCGCTTTCAGCCCCGGCTGGAGGCTGCCTTCAAGACCACAAAGCAAAAAGCAACACCCTCAGTGGGCCTAAGAAGGTCGAGGCCAAGAGCCTGCCCCTGTGGGGCTTCTGGTTCCCCACTGGTCCTGTAAGTTTTCATCAACAGTCTGAGGGTCTCTAGACAGGTCTAGAAGCTTTGAGTGCAGCTGCCAGGAGCTCTGTTACAACCTCGTGGCACAGGGAGCCCAGAGTTCAGTCCCTGCAGGCAGGCGCCCGCTGAGCCCCAGCCAAGGCTACTCGAGGCTTCGGGGAGGGAAGAGCCAAAAGCTACCGGTTCCCCAGGCACGTGGCCCCTGCCCCGCCCCGCTTCGGAGGGCCGGGTCCCTGGCGGAGCCTGTGGGAACTGGAGGAGCTCCCCAAGAAAGTGTTTTGCGAGCCGCGGGGTGCCCTGGGGGCACCGCCCACCCGCCTGCAGGAACACAGCCGAAGGCTCTGGGCAGGTGGCACCTTGTGAGGCCGGCCCTCAGGGCACCGTGGAAGGCGTCTTCCAATGATCAGGGGGTTGATCCAGATGGGAGCCAAGAGCGCTCCCGTGGGGGTTTGCCCCTGGAAAAGCAAGATCAACTGGGCTCATTTTTGGAAAAGGGAAGTCACCAAATGCCTCTTCCCACCCCTGCCGCCAGCCCACACAGGCCAAGTCTTCCCCTGGCGGTGCCTGAGCCTCGGTTCTGTGCCCTCGGAGGCCACGCGTCCACCAGACCTGCCCTGCTGAAGGACAGAGCCGCCCTCCTCTGGCTCTCCCAGAGGCCGTGGAGGCCCGACACCCTCTCCGACCACCAGCCTCTAGGACAGGCTTCCAGCGTGGTGGACCCCAGGCCTGCTTCCCCATCCCCACAAGGGAAGGCCAGACCCCCGCTTTCCAGGGCTGTGGCTCACTGAGTGCAAGAGCCCACGTGGGGCTGGGTCAAGGCTCGCTATGGAGACCACAAGGGGCTGACAGAACAGCAGGACAGGGCAGCGGGCCCCAGTCACCCCAACCCCTCCCCCTGCCGGGAGACACCCAATTCTGGCCGCGCCCGCGCCTCTGCGCCTCAGCGCCTCACTCCGCTCTGGACAACGCCGCGCAGCCTCCCCTCCACAACGCACGCGGACTCGACGAGCCGGCCAAGCACGGAGGCCACGCTGGGGGAGGTCCATGAGCCCCCACCGGGAACTTCAGGCGTGGACAGAGCCCTCCTCCCACAGATAAGGAGCCGGAGTCTTGGCCGGCCTAGCTGCCAGCCCCGCCCAGCTGGAGAGGTCTGACCCCGAAGCCTGGGTCCTCTCCCCGCTCCGGAAAGGAGAGCCGGCGCTGCCCTCGGAAGGGCTGGCCGTCACCGCTCCTCTCCTACTCGGCCCAAGGTCCGGAGCCGATAAGCACACAGCGCACAGCGGTCCCACCCTGGCTTGGAGCTCTGATAAGACATCAGCGGGGCTCCCCTCCAACCCCGGTGGCGGTGGCGGTGGCGGTGACAGCCGGCTGACCCCACACGGGGGCGGCGGGGACACAGGAGGAGACGGTCCCTACGGCACCAGAGATAAGCAGGATACGCTGGCTGCTTGTGTGGAGCCTAAGTGGAGACACTAAACCCACCCATGTTCTGAGGACTCCATGGGGGGCGAGGCCTCGCAGAAAGGGGGGACATCCCCAGAAGACCACGGTGGCAGAAAGGACACTGGCTGACGGCCAGCCCGGGCCGGCTCGGCTGGAATGCAGGGTAGACAGCCAACTGGGGCACAGCGGTTCTGAGCGCTCACCACCCCTATGGGGGGCAGGGCAGTCCCCAGGTCCTCAGAGGGGCTGGCTGTCACTACTCCCCTCCAGGCCCAGAGTCTCTGTTCCCGGGGCCCCCCACACCCCACTCCTGGACATCCAAGTGCCCCACTGGACAGAGCAGGAGCCTGAAGCCCATGGAGAAAGTACCTGGCCACTCACTCATTCCGAAGCAGACGGCAGAGGCCTGTGGCTGCCTGTGGCACCCCGGACACGCAGGAAGAGAACCATGACAGCCAACAGAAGCAGGTGTTTGAGAGTGCACGTGAGGGACACCTGGGCTGTGCCTGGGGAGCGGGGCCTGGGGTCCACCTCCACCTTGGGCTGATGACACTGGACGGCCCGACCCCTGCACGGCCTCCCCTCACTGCCCTCTGCCCCCTGGAGCCTCCCCTCAGCTCTAAAGCCCCCAGCCCGGGGCGCCTAGGTGGCGCAGTCGGTTAAGCGTCCAACTTCAGCCAGGTCACGATCTCGCGGTCCGTGAGTTCGAGCCCCGCGTCAGGCTCTGGGCTGATGGCTCGGAGCCTGGAGCCTGTTTCAGATTCTGTGTCTCCCTCTCTCTCTGCCCCTCCCCCGTTCATGCTCTGTCTCTCTCTGTCCCAAAAATAAATAAAAACGTTGAAAAAAAAAAAAATTTTAAAGCCCCCAGCCCAGAAGCAAGCTCGAGGCCAGGGCCCCAGGCACACCTGGGAATACCGGTCGCTCGGCACTCCGCGCTCTCCCCAGGGCCTGATCCTGGGAGGACCAGGACAGCAGTACCCACGTGGAGTCGCGGAGTCTAAATACGACGGGGCTCAACCATGCGGCAAAAACACAGGGAAGCATACGGCACAGGCCAAAAAAACAAAGAGAACCCAGAAATCCCTAAAGAGCACAAAAACGCAACAGAACAGCACCCTCGAAGGACTAGGCCGCACTGGCAACAACGGGCCTCCCAGGGGTGCAGCTGATCTGCGGCGCCCCCTCTGCTCCTGCGGCCAGGCCACCATGGGCATGGAACACTGCGGCCCCCCTTCGGCCCTCACAGCCAGTCCACGGCAGGTGCAGATCGCTTTCAGGGTCCGAACACACGATTTCAGCAGTTCTCTCGCTCTGGCCCTGGTGCATTTCCAACACGCTGGCCAGTGGATGTTCCTGGGGTCACCTTCCTCCACAACACAGGCTCCTGGGAGGTCCTGGGAGGCCTAGAACGTGGAACAGTGTCCTCTGGATGCTCCAGGTGAAGCTGGCAGGGAAGGAAGGCCACGCCCGTCACGGCCATTCCTGGAACGTGGGTTCAAGACACGGGGGGAGCCGGCTGTGTCCCCTAAGAGCCCACACACCAACACCACCCATCAGCATCAGTGGCTTCTATTACTTGATCCCCCAGGAAGGTGCTGGGCGGGGGTGGAGGGGGAGTTGGGGGGGCGGGGAGGTGGGGAGTGATGAGGACAGATTTCCCAGGTAGGCCAGCCCCTCCCCCACCCGCATATTTGGACAGCTTCCTGCCCAGAGCCCGATGGACTGTCTCAGCGGCTCCTCCAGGCAGCCCTCCGAGACTGTCCCTGCAGAAGCAGTGGGACTCAGCTGCTTGGGCAGGCCTGTGCTCATGGGTGCGTGGGGATGGGGGCCCCAGAGCTTTTCGGCCCTGTCTCCTGAAACAGCACCCACATTCCTGCTCTTTGAGGGCCCTCTGGGCCACTCCGCTGGAGAAGAGCACACAGGTCTCCCAGGACAAACAACAGTGTTGTGTGACCGTCAACTAGGACACATAGGGACAAGCTTCACCCGGATGTGCCTGGAGTGAAAGCGGTCCCGGTGCTACCTGGACATGCCCTCCCTGTTACCTCCTGGGCCTTGCCTCCCCTTGTCCCCTGCACCCACCCCCACCTCCCAGTCTGTGGGGTGGACTCCCAGACCACAGCAGTACTCAGGGGTCCGTGCTGGAGGAGTCAGAATCACTGTCGCAACACTGACCCCTGCTGGAGCCGCGGGGGATGGCAGCAATGCTGGCGAGCAGCCTCCCCTCCCCCGCCCCAGTTCCCCCCAAACCACAGGACAGAAGATTCCAGGCCTTTCACTGCACTGTCTCCCAGTCCCAACCAGGGATTACCATCTCCCCACCCCCATGCCCACCCCTGTTTCCAGCCGCCAGGCAAACTTCTACTCACCCTTCAAAACCCAGCTCGGCAACCACCTGCTGGGGGACACCCGCCCGATGTCCCTGCAACCCCCAGTTCCCCAGCCCCCAGCCCCTATCTGTGCTGGACACCTATCCTTTGCTGCCATGGTGCCCCATCCTGGTCCCCAGGTATGTACTGAATTCAGATCCATCCGGAAGAGCCCTTGCAGGGTCCTGGGGCTAGCTCCTGATTTTACAGAAGACACCCAGGACCCAGGTATACCTGCGTGTGTACGCACGTGTCCAGGCCAAGCCCCACCCCCAGAGCTGGGCCCCCCATCAGCCTCCCACCCTGTTCTCCAGCAAACTACAGCAACAAGCAGGTTCCCCCAGGTGCTCCACGTGGCCGTTTCCAGAAACCTGCAGCGCCTGGGGGGGCCGCCAGACCAGAGGCCCTCACACGGCAAGCACACGTGCCCGCTTCCTCAAAAGGCACAAGCCAACGGCAGAAACTCTGGAGGACGCAGCTATCGCGAAGGAGGAGAGCGGTGGCCAGGAGACGTCTCCCTGATTCCCCGGCAGTCCGCCCGGGGGGCTCCAGGCTCCGGTGAGCCCCATGCCTCCTACCCGCTGTCCATTTCCTTCTTAGCGCCCGGCTGTTTGTCGTGCACCACATCACACCGACCAGTCTGCCCACTGCCCACGCACACGGAGCAGAAAGAATCCCCGTGCGCAGACCCCTCGACAGCCCCAAGGATTGTTCTGCAAAGGGGATACGGGCTGCAGAGGGGAGAACGTTCCCGCAGCTCTGTCCACCGAGGGCCCGTGTCATTACTCGCTTCACGGAAGGGGTAACTGAGGCCCAGGCGGTACCGCTGACCTGCTGGAGGCCCCCTGCCAGACGGGCTCTCTGCACAACAGAAAGCGGAGCCAGGAATGCCCTCATTCGGGGCCACGCACCCCCGCCTTGGCCGCACCTCCTCCCCGAAGCCCCTGGAGAGCCCCCCGCAGGCAGCCCCACGCGGGGGCTGGGTGCTCAGCACCACGGGGAGGGGCGCCCCCACCCGCTCCACGAACGGGTGGAGCTCCTCCAAACCGACAACCACAGACCTCCCCAGACACCACTCCGAGTCCCCTGGGGGCAGGGTCACAGGGCCAGAAGCAGCTTTATGTGCAGACACAGCGATAGGTGTGTGGCTCCAAACCGGCTCGGGGCGCGAAGGCAGGTTTTTTTAAGGCTCCTCGGGCATCCAGAGGACTGCCAGGTGTGGAAAGCTGGGGACTCGGTCCCAGGACGGCCCCTCTCCTCACCGGGGCTGCGGAGCCTCGGAAAACACGATCCGACGTCACCAGTGCAGCAGGGTCACAGCTACATGAAAGGACAGCAGGCCTCCTCCAGCTCAGGCCAGGGGGAACACCGCAAGCCAGGAGGCACGGATTGGCAGCGATTTCCACGTGTTTCTTCGGATTTTGGGGGATCGTCCAACGTTTTTAAAACAAACGTTACCCAAGTCCTGAAAAGAAGTGCTTTGAACAGAGGTAACGTGCAGGCTTCACCGGCTGGGACTCTGCCCCTGAAACCACAGGCAGGGCGCACCCGGGGGCACAGAAAACCCCCACATCTCTCCTCTAAGGCCATCCTCACAGAAAACCAGCAACGGCACAGCAGAAGCACCACCAAGGATACCAACGGCTTCTCCCGTGGGAGGCCTGCGCGGCTGGGCCCCTGGGGGCTGCGGCATCTGGGGAGCGGCAGGGGCTGAAGTTGGAAAACAAAGTAAAGCGGCTGCAGTGAGAATCAGCCTATGACCAAGGGATACGGGGTGACACCGGGGAACGTCTGTTGTCACTGCAGCTGGGGTAGGGGCGTCACGACCGGGGGCGCCCAGCACACCCCCCCACGGCAGGCCTGGCCCCGAGGACGGGGGACTACTATTCCTCCAACCAGCTTGAGAGCTCCCACCCAGACCCCGCAGGACGCCCAGCTCAAGCCCACGTGCCCACCAGCGAGCAAACGGTGCAGGGTCCTTGCTCGGCCGGGCCAGGCCTCCAGACACCAGGCTCTGCTGGGGTTCTCCCGCAGCCTCAGGGCACAGAAACGCTCACAGCGCTGACGGGCCGGACGCAGGAAAGCACACTTCCGTGGTGGGGGAGTCGCCCCCTGAAACCCACCGGCACCCCGCCCACAGAGGAAGCAGCAGAGGGGCAGCGTGGCCACGCCTCGGGGGCTGCCTGTTCGTTGAGGCCGTGCCCTTCCTGTCCCGAGTCCGCTCGCGGAGGAAACAGAACCCACCCTCTGCTGGGAGGCCCTATTTCCCTGGCTCCAGCCCCCTCCTCTGCAGGACTCTGTGGGCTCAGAGCTGCCCTACAGAAGCGGTGCTCGCTCTCGGGGCTCCAGACCACGCAGGGCCTTCAAGGGCCGAAATGTGAAGCCCAGGGGCAGGGCTGCCCCGAGAGCCGCCACCCCTGCCACGGCCGTGACCGCTCGTGCCTTCCAGCCTGTCCTCAGGTTTCGTGTTCAGATGTCACAATTCTGTGTCTCCCAAGACTCGCTGTGACCTGCCGGCCCCAGGGCAGAGCGCAGAGCGCTGAGCCTGACACACAGTGGGTGCCCAGGTGTGTGCGAGACACGTAGGTGCTGGGCAGCAGAAACTGGAGGAAGGTGGTGCGTGGGGCGAGGGCCTGACTGCCAAAACTCAATCCCATAACCCCACTTACCGGCCACGTGCACACAGGAGAGTGGCTTCCCATCTCTGGGCCTCAGTTTCCTCATCTGTAAAACGGGGACAATCATCCCTACCATTCAGAGTCATAAAGAGCCTGCCCAAGTGCATGCTGCCGAAACTGGGCAATATCACACCGAAGTTCGGAGGTGGGGATCCTGAATCCCACACTGGGAGGCACGGGGCTGGAGCTGAAGGTCTGGAAGGAACAGGATCCCTGCCCCGGCCCCTCACGGGCCTCAGACTCTGCCAAAAGTCTCAGGAGCCCAGCGGCCCAAGACTGGAGGTGCTGGGCCTCACGGGGACCCCAACGTCCCACCTGCAGGCTGCGTCCACCAAGCACCTTAGCAACGCTGTTGCTTAAAAATGAGTCCAAGCAAAGCTGGCCCAGCCCACCCTGGCAAGAGCGCCTCCCCGTGCACATCTGGACCGCTGCGGCCTCTTCCGACCCATAGGAAACTGAGCTTGTCAAAATCTGGAGCAGGGGGAAGCTGAAAGGGAGGGAAAGGACTAGGCACACACTCTCCCCTGGCGTTCTCAGAGGGCAGCGACCCCAGAAGCATGCCACGGAGAAGGAAACAGAGGGTCAGAGAGGCTGCACGGCAAGGAAGAGGCTGAGCTGGGATTTGGCCCTGCCCCTCTTCAGGAGAGGCGGCGTTACCAGAAAGCAGGCTTTCCCTCCCCTCCCTCCCCTCTCTCCCCTCCCTCCCTTCCCTGAAAAAAGAAAATGCAGACCCACCACGGAAAGGGGTAGACAGCTGCATTTTTCCCCTATAGCAAGTGGGGCACACAGGACTTCCTCACCAAACAGGCTCCTAGAAATGATCCTTTAGGAAACTAACTGGCCATTCTTGACGTAGAAAGAAATCTGAAAAGTGACTTACCACAGGAGGGACACACGAGGACAGAAATCAACACCCCAGAACGGAAGGCTGGAAGGCAACATGCAGACTTGGGGCCAAGTCAGAACGTCAGGGGCATAAGGGAGTGGGCCGGCCCTCTCTGGACTCACCCAGAGGAACCCAAAACCCAGGGGGCTCTTTGCAAAGCAATGCGTACGACACCAAGAGGCAAACAAATGGAGTCAAGAAACCGCGCCTCCACACGTGAGCTGGGCACTGACTCCCAGATGCCTCCAACGTGCTGTCCGCCACCTTCCTGGCCCCCACGAGAGACGGGAGTGATAATGACCCGATGCTGAGGTACCAGGGGGCACCTCTGTTTTGTCTTCTCAACTGCAGGTTCCTGACGGCCGCGCCCGTGGCTCGCAGCTCTGAATGCCCCGTGCCCAGAACAGGTGGGGAGCCAGACAATGAACGCTCGCATCTGGCTGTCTGCAAACTGTCAGCTGCAGGTGCGGGGGGGGGGCGGGGGCCCCCAAACAAATTCGTGCGAGAAATGTAAAAAACCCTACTATTCTTTCCTTGGCAAAATGGGAAAACAGGCCTATTATTTAATCCCAGCCGGCGCACTCCTCTTTCGAAGACGGTTCTGAAATAAAAAACATTTTTCCTGGGGAAAGACAGAGAGGGAATTTGAAATTGAGGCTGAATGAGGAAGTCTGGGTCTGATGGAAAGGGAGAGCCAGTCCCGAAGGACAGAGATCACCAGCGGGAGCCTGAGTTTCCCTCAGAAGGAATGACACCACTTAATCCTCCCTCCAAGCCTTTCCCTGTGATGTCTGTCCTCCTTCCCCCCACCCCTCCCCGTTCTTAAAGTCTCCGCTGAAATCCCACACCTCCTACAAGAAGCGCTCCCAGCTTTCACCAAACTCTGCCGTGACAATGACAATCACCGCGAGGATACGACGTGCAGCCCGCTAACATTCTCTGCCCAACCAAAAGAAGGTAATTTCCTGGGAGCCTATCCGCCCTCCCGTCCCAGTCCCTCGGGTTTGGCTCACTCCCGGTCCAGCTGCGTCTGACACAGGGCTCGACACACAGTAGGTGCTCCTAAGACCCTCCCGACCCCACTACTGGAGGCGCGGAGGGGGAACGCAACGCAGCAGCAGACAAGAGCTGCCACGGGCACCTGGGGTTGGGGGCGCGGCGGGGATGGTCACCCCAGCGAGAAACTCGGGGGCGAGTAAAGGCAGGGGGAGTCCTGGGCCTGCGGACCAGTGTCAGCCGCGCTTGTTTCCCGAGCCCCGTGCTCAGCGTTCGGCCTGCGCTAGCTCACTGCACCCTCGCGACAGCTGTCGGACGGCATGCCCCCTCACGGTTACACCGTACGCTCATGGAAACGGAGGCTCGCACAGATCCCGCGACTTGCACCGGGCCCCGGGGTGGGTGGTCCCGGTCCCGGCTGGCGAGACGACGCCCACCAGCGTCCGGAGAGGGGTCTGGGCCGAGAACGGAGGAGCCGGGAAAGTCCCAGCCGTGGAGTCTAGCCCCGGGTCGGGGAGCCAAGCCCAGGTCGGGCATTACCTGCCGCGGAGGGCGCCGCTCCACCGCCGACCAGCGCGCCGGGGCCCCGGGCCCCGCGGTGCCGGAAGTGGCAGTAGGGCCGCCGGCAGGGCCCCCCGGGCGCCCCAGCCCAGTAGGGGCAGTCGATGGCCCGGAAGAAACCGGTGGAGCGTAGCATGGTCCGTCCCGAAGCGGGACCCCGGCCCGGAGCCGCCCGGGCCCCCGGGCCGCTCACTGGCGCCGCGGTCGCCGCCGCCCGCGCCTCACGGACCCCGCTGCCGCCATCTTGCTCCGAGGCCCCCGCAGGCCCCCGGGACGCCGCCGCAAGGGACCCCGGGAGCGGCTGCCCGCAGCGCGCCTGATCAGAAACTCCAGCCCTCGAGGAACCGAAGCGCTTCGCGGACCCGTGGGCAGGGACAGGTGGCCGCGGGGGGAGGGACGGAGGGTGCGGGCGGCCCCGCCTGCGGCCTCCAGGGGCTTCGCCGGCGCCGCCGCCCGGCCCTGAGCTATGGCAGCAAAGCCATCTTGAGCCCGAGGCCCCGACGGCGCCTGGGCTGTCTACTGCGCGCCTGATCAAAAAAAAAAAAAAAACACAACAACAACAACAACGAAGTCCGTCAGGACCAGCTGTCATGCATTTGCTATTAATTTGCGTTTTAGGAACACGTTGCCCTGAAGTGCCCCCTGCCGGACGAGGCGAGCCCTACAGGCGCGTCTTGTGCCTGGGAACCTGCTCCGTTTACCCCTAAAGCTTACCTCCGCCCTGGTGTGCAGCTGACTTGAGTCAATGAGTGCTTCCTTTCTCCCCGCTGGACTCTTGTCCCGGACCCACAAGAATCCCGTTCTCACTCATTCATGTGTTCACATAAAATTGCGTGCCTAGTGTATACCAAGATCTACCCTAGATGCTACCTTGACCTGGACAGATGAGGGATATGGTGGGGAGGGGAGGGTCCCTGGAGCCTGGAGGGTTAGGCCAACATCTTAATGAAAAATTGTAAGAATGCGGCGCCTGGCTGGCTCAGTCGGTGGAGCGAGTGACTCTTGATCTCAGGGTCCTGAGTTCAAGTTCATATATATATATGA